CCAAATAGCACACTTTCACACATTGAGCAAACTCCAAACTTAAGTATGTTGATACTTATGCAAAATGAGGAGGCCTTGCAAAAAATTAAGAAGGCGGAAACCTGGGAGCAAAAAAGCCCTAACCCCCCTTCCCTAAAAAAAAAATAAATGAGGAGGGTGTAAATATTGTATGGTCATAACTTTTTTAATTTATAATATTTTTCTATGAAATTTAAAATTTGTTAATGAATTTAAATTTCGTTTTAGGTTGTAAAGTTGAAACTTTACTATATTAGTGCCCTCACGGTTAGGCAGGGGGGAAGCGTTTTAGGGCTTTTTTGTTCCCAGGCCTCCACCATTCCAATTTTTTGCAAGACCTCCTCATTTGGTATAGTTTAACTTAAGTTTTAGAGCTTTCATAAATAATACACTTATGGCATAGACATACTTATGTTTGAAGCTTGTGCATGCTCTAAACTTTAGTATACCTATGCCATATGTGTGAAAGTGTCCTATCTAGAACATCAAAAAATCCTGCGGGCGCCCATGCATACATGCCACCTTTTATATACTGGCCCTGAGTATGGCGTATTTCAGGCAACTTATTTTTTGAGTGGACAAAAAACAGGTTTTAGCAGTACCGTGGGTAATTGGGCGGAAGTCTCACCAAAAAACGTGTCATTTGCGTCTCAAAATCTCCCAAATTTTACCGCTAGCTTTTGCTAAAATAAAAAGCTCCTTAAAATAGCAAAAGGGCACAAAATTTTCTGCTTCTTTCTTTCCCTCTCTTAAATTAAGAGGTACGGGTAGCCTATGCTCGGCACTAAGTTTTAGGCTTTGTTTTCGATATTACTGATCTCGCGTAGGACTTGTTTTTTACTGACCTACTAAATAGGATTGCCTAAAAAAACGTTCGCTTTAAGTAGTTTATTTGATTTATCATTAAAAAAGTCGCCGCAGTCCACAGCATTAACCGCTCGACCAAGCGAACACATTATCAACGTGTAATTTAACTTTATTAAAATTAATATTTGCATATATATTTGAAGTCGTTTTTTAAATTAGGATTCTGTTCCGCAAACAAAGAGATTTTGGTTCGTCTATCTAAGGTACCTCCTCCAACTTTTTTTTTTTCCATAAACTTTTTCATCAATAAAAAAATAGTTTAGGGAGGTGGGAGGGGGGAGGAAGAGGGGTATTTCAAAAACGGACGTACTTTTTAAGAGGGGGAAGGACGCATGGCAACAGGGGGAGGGAGGCGGTCAAATTTCAAAATTTTTGGCGTACGTATTTTATGGACGACCCCTAAGTCAAATCATCAATGTATAAAATTATTTCATTGCAACTGTAGCACAGTCACTAGAGTTCTGGCTCAGAATTTTTTTTTTTTTTTTTAACATTATATTTTTTCCGTTTTATTACAGTTTACAAAAATTTACAATTAAGTTAATGGCCGGAGCAAGAAGAAGGCATTAATTTGCTTTATCGCCGAGCACCGTGTTACAGTTTATAATTTTTTACAAAGTTATTAAAGAATATATAGTATATAAGAAAAATTGAATAAATGTTTACAAGAATTCGAAAAATAAAATAAGATATCGTTTAATACATAATATCATAAATAGACAAAATAAAAGTAAAAATGAATATATATAAATTTATATACACATAAGCACACTTACACATATAAGCGAACATATACCCATATAAATGAACACACACAAACACACATATATAAATACATATATACACATACATACACACACATACGTACATACACATATACACATATACATATACACATACACACATACATATATATATATATATATATATATATATATATATATATATATATATATATATATATATATATATATATATATATATATATACATATACATACACATATACATACACATATATATATATAGATATAAATATACACACATATACACACATACACATACACATACACACATAAATAAGTACAAATATACACATACATGAGTATAAATATATACACATAAAAAATAAAAAGCGAGAAAATGTGATTTGTGATAATGGTTATTGTCAATAAGTTTTTAACTTTTTTTTAATGATTACAAGGTACAGTTACCTTGTTTTTATTTATAATTGATATATCTGATCTATTTAAAAAAAATAAATCAAAATCTGTGTTTAATAAAAACTGTTTTGAATCAGTTTTGAACTGATGTAGAGAAGTTTTCTTTTCGGAAACAATGTTTAGGAATCTTTTTCACAAAAGTGGTCCGCGATTTTGAATTGAATAAGAATTCTGTTTAGAATGAGATTTTGGCAAAATAGCAAAGTGGTTTGCGGAAAATCTTGTAGCATATTTATGGTGTATTTTTTTAAAATAAGTTTCAAAGATTTTTGGGGACAGTCCATATTTTGTTTTATGAAGTGTAGAACAACACATGAAGTGTAGAACAAGATGGATATTAAGTTTGAAAATATTCAAGGCATCAATTATACGTAAAAGAGGTTCACAAGGAATCGCTCTACCAACTCCAAATATGATTCTAACAGCATGTTTTTGTTTGCTATAAAGTTTTTTTAGCTTAGTGTGGTTAGTACTTGCCCATATGATGTTGCTGTAAGTTAAGTAACTATGTATAAAAGAAAAATATAAATTTTTTAAGGACTTAAAACTTAAAATTGGCCTAACTCTATAGATCATTCCAATGTTTTTTGAGATTTTTTTTTTCTATAGAATTTATATGTACTTTCCATGATAAATTTTCATCAAAGTTCACACCTAAAAAATTTACAAATGTTTGTCATTTAATGTTAGTTTTATTTATTAAGAGATAGGGCAGAATAAGCGGTATTTTTTTTGTTTTGTTTAGTTTGTGGAAAAGAGAAAATTTAGTTTTTTGAACACTCAAAGACAATTTGTTGCATTTAAACCATTTATTTACTTTATTTAGTTCTTCATTTACTACTGTAAAAATTGTTTCAATATTTTTGTGAGAATATAAAAGATTCGAGTCATCTGTGAATAAAATAAAGTTTAATAGGTTTGACGTTGAAGACAAATCATTTATGTATAGTAAGAAAAGTAAAGTATAGAACCCTGTGGGACTCCGCAAGTTATAGTTTTTTTGGTCGTTTCTAAATTTAAAAATTGTACGTATTGTTTTCTGTTCGAAAGGTAATTTTCAAACCAAAGTAAGTTTGTCTCCTTTACTCCGTAATATCCCAGTTTTTTTATTAAAATGGAATGATTTACCGTATCAAAAGCTTTGGACAGATCAATGAAAACTCCTAACGTAAAACAGTCTTCTTTAAATGCATTTGATAAGTGATTAACTAACTCTACTATTGCGTGATCTGTTAATGTTGTTTTTTGAAACCAAATTGCTTACTATATAACATGTTGTTTTCAGTTAAATGATTATACAGCCTATTGTACATTATGCGTTCAAGCAATTTCGAGAAACAAGACAAAACAGATATAGGTCTGTCATTAGAAGGGTCTGGCTCATTTTTTTATAGTTAAGAGGCCCGAGGTACGACGCCAGCTCTAGTTCAATAAGTGAGATTTGTTGTTATGATGCTCCCAGAAGTCCTTATGGTCTTATTACAGAGCACCGTAGAAGAGTATTTAACTAAGAAGTTTATGACTTCTTCTTTATTGATGTTGTTTAATGGGCTAGACCGGCATTGAACCACGAACCTCTTGGTCCTGAGCTAGAACTCTAACCATTGCGCCATGGCTGCAATAACTATAAAATATATTCCTCAAGCAATTCATCACAAATCTTCGCAGTATGATTTGACGCACTATCTTGTTGGAAGATGATTTAAAAGAAAATGTCAATAGAAGTAACTAAATAACTATCCAATATGTCTAAATGCCTTTAAGAACCAAGCCTTTCCTAGTTAAATGCTCTTCCGTAGTGCTCTGTGAAAAGATTGTTAGATCTTCTTGGGGTACCTAAAATAAAAATTAGAAAAAAAAAAGACTTTGTATTTTCTTAAATCAGCCTCAACATTCATTTCATTGCTGAAAAGAATGTTTTGCCACATGCTGATAGATTCAATTTTATGAGCTAAACACCAGGTTTTTTTTTGCTTTCTAATGTTTTTTTTGAAAGTAGCTTGTCTTATGTAATTGTGTTTTTGTAGTACTATTTTAATTGTTCGAACACTTGCAACAGCACCAGAAGCTTCTTGCCATTTTTAATTGAGATCAATAGATGATAAGTTTTTATCTTTTTCACTATGCAAATAAGAGAATGTCTTTTTATTTTATTTGAAATGCTGGGTTTTTCCGGACACTGAAGATTTTCAATTGTATTGTATTCATGATATTGATTGATTATTCTGCTAACAGTTACAAGTGTTGTATTTGAATGTTTTGCAATTTCTCTCATTTAGATGTTTTGTTTATTAATTGTTTTGATTTTACATTTTTCAGATTATCATTTTTTTCAGGTTATCAATGGTTTTTGCAGTAATTTTGATTGTTTCATTGCTTGTTTATTGTTGTAGTTTATTCACATTTAAAGAATAACCTGCAACATTCAGAAATTCACTTATATGACAAAATGGACTATAAAAAATTAAATCAAGAGTTAGTTGTCAAGTTTTCAAAAAAAGAGGATGAATTCAAAGGCTTGGTTCTCAAAAACTAAATATTGATGAAATGGCTGAACAAATCATTAATAGTATTCAAGAACCCATAAACACAGTAGAACGAACAAAAATTATTTCAAATAACAATAGGAATTACTACTATAAATGGATGAGTAATCTAAAGTTGGTGAAAGCAAGTAAAAAAGCGAGTCTAGAATGAAGCAAAAGAAAAAAAAAGTTTGCCTCAAACAAAACAGAGTTTACTTAAAACGTAGAAATGTAAAAACCACTGAAACTAAGTGAAAGGCCCAATAAATTTTATGATTTAAATAAAAAATTGAAATAAAAAGATAAAATTCTCATTTAGTGCATTCTAGTTATTAAAGAATTGATAACATTTATTTTGCTCTTGCACATATCATGTTAATGGAATGAATGAAACATCACATCATGTTAGTGGAATGAATGAAACATCACATCATGTTAGTGGAATGAATGAAACATCACATCATGTTAGTGGAATGAATGAAACATCACATCATGTTAGTGGAATGAATGAAACATCACATCATGTTAGTGGAATGAATGAAACATCACATCATGTTAGTGGAATGAATGAAACATTACATCATGTTAGTGGAATGAATGAAACATTACATCATGTTAGTGGAATGAATGAAACATCACATCATGTTAGTGGAATGAATGAAACATCACATCATGTTAGTGGAATAAATGAAACATCACATCATGTTAGTGGAATGAATGAAACACCACATCATGTTAGTGGAATAAACGAGTTTAAAGAAATTTCTTAATATCAACTTGAAAAAATAGTAAGTGACATTAAATATAAAAAATCTATGAGTGAAGATATGAATGTACAAAAACTTAAAAAATTAATCTATATTTAAAGACAGGTTTTGTACCTAAAACTTGGGAAAGATCCACTATAATACCCATAGTAAAAGTTCTAGAATTATATGCACATACACAGTTGTCTACTTCAAAGAAAATAAGCTATTTAATAAAAATCAATTTCCGAAAAAATCACTTTATTAAAACAGCTGTTTAACTTCTCATTTCAAAATAGAGGATATTTCGAAATGGAGGGTAGCAATTGATTGCGGTATATTCATCATTACAGTTATGCTAGAATTAAAGAGAGCATTCGAAAAAATTAATAGAAAAAATCAAAAAATTAAAGTGCTACAAAGTAGTAGAAGTAGTACTTTGGTTTTAAGTTACATAACAGGAAGAACTCAAAGAGTATAATTTAAATAACACAACTTCTCTTCATTTGGCTAAAATGAACGAATTATCTCCAAATTTTGTTGTTACTTTAGTGATCATAAACAAGAACAACTAGTTGATTTCTCAACATTCGAAACATCTAATGGAAAAAACAAAAACCATTTTGGATTTAATTAATTCAATTTGATTCAACAAAAGTAATCAACTTACCTAGCTCTTCTCCGTTGGGTGATTTGTTGCAAGATTCGCATATTGAATCGCATATTGAATTGGGATAATGTCGTTGTTTCTAAAAATGTGACTACATTGGTGCCAATACAACTTTTGCAGGCTTAAAAATGAACAAAAATAAAAAAAGGTCCTCGTTTTTTAAAAATTGCCGACAGCCTTATCAACATTTGCCGACTGACTTTTCAAAAAGGGTCAAATTTGCCGACTAAATGAACAAAAAATTATTGATAGAGGGTGTCACACTTCCATTGCGCCAGCCTTGCCTGGGTATCTTTATATCTAATGATCTAAAATGGAATTAACACTTGCAGGTTGCAACACGTAGAGCAAATAGGACACTTGGCCTTTTGGAAAACACGTTTAGCTCAAGAGAAATAAAGCTTTGGAGTAAACTATGCTCTACGTATGTTAGGCCGCCTCTGAAATATACTGTTCTGGTTTGGTATCCTTTTTAAAAAAATATATATATTGCCAATGATTGGAATAATTTGCCGATAGCATGCAAAATGGTTCCGTCAGTTAATGCGTTTAAGAATAGAATGGACAATTATTTTATTTCTACAGCTGCAAATAGTACATCTTTTACTGAAGATGAGGTACACGTTTATTAATTAAATAGTGCTATAGCATTCATAAATACTAACTTTTTAGATATTGTTTGTTATAAGCTTTAAACTAAGTTTATTCGATTAATTAACAGAATTAAAAACTTTTTAACAAAGTTTGTATTTCTGTTTTTATTATATGCATATAATTAAAACAGAATTATAAACTTTGTTAAAAAAAAACAGCATATATGCTGTTTGGTTGCTATATATGATTTTTATATTGAGTTTAATAGCTAAATACTTTGTTAGTATTTCTATACTACGTATGTGCGTGACATAGGTTTTCAATAAGCTATTATGCGTGATATAGGTCTTGAATTAACTATAACGTTTTTGTTTCTGTATTTTAAAAGTACACGTCATTTTTTGGCTATTTTGTAATTTTACCGGTATGCAAAACATTATTTAAAGTTTCAATCGAAGCTGTTAAAATAAAATAGAAAAATATTTGTAATGTTTGATTTAAACCGGGAGGTTTAATATTTTTGGTTTGCCATAGAATTCGTTTTAACATTCATTTCATCCTTTTTTACTTTGATTTATATATATATATATATATATTATATATATATATATATATATATATATATATATATATATATATATATATATATATATATATATATATATATATATATATATAAAGAGGGTTAGATTTTTTAGTTTTTTGTACATAAATGAGTGTCCGTGGTTAGCCCATCTTTTTTTTCATTCACCTTTTGCCTGGCCAATGTATACTTTTTCTGGAGTGTTGGAGAGGGAAAATATATTTATAAAATATTTTATATATATATTTATAAAAAAACATTAGAGGCTCAAGATTTTCCCATTATAAGGCAGTTTTCTTTATTTATGCAATTGCAGGGTGGGTATTTTTTTTGTCTTTCTGAAGTGATATTTTTGGTACAGCTGTAACTGACTTTGATGGTATTTCGATTGAATAGTTTACTTAGGAGGTAGGATGTTGGAAAATGTTTTTCGATTAAGTTTAGGAAGATATGTCCGACATTGGTAGAAACGCTTTTACTATACATATTATATTTCTTTTTCTTTTCTTTTTTTCTCTTTTTTGGGGGATTTAAATTAAAACCAGTAAAGCCATTTCTTCTTAATTCATTTTTGTATTCTGTTATAGATAAATTAAATGTTTTTTCATTTGCGGAATTTTGTGATAATCTGTCGTTAATAGAGATGGGGATTTGCTTTATTATTTGCGGAGGATGTTTGGAATCAGTGTGAATGTAACGTAGATTTTCATTAGGTTTTTAAAGGTTGGTCAGAGTTTAAAGTCAACTTCTTAGATGCATCCATTAACTTAAAGTTAAAGGACACATCTAAGAAGTTGACTGCGAGTAGGTTTGTTTGGATCTTTTTTTTTAAACCGATCATTTTTATAAGTCTAACTATGTTTTTTTGTATGTTGTCAATTTGTGATCCAGTTTTTTACGAAGTACCATCAGACCATTGCCACGATATAGTTCAACGTCTTCTTTATTTATTATTTTAGATAGTGAGTATAATAGACCCACTAGTTCGCAAATTTCTGCACCATTAAAACAACCCATTGTGACATCAAAGCAGTCGTGTTGTAAGTTTTTCTTTCATGTTTCGGTGTTAAAAAATAGAAAGGACATTCTGCAATGTTTAATGACTCTGATTTAATTTATCTTCGCAAACACTTGTGTGTTTTTTTGCAGACAGTATTGTATTACTTAGTATTTTTGATGTATTTTTGGGGTAAAATTTTGATGTAATAGTGGGGTAAAAATCGATAATATCAAGTTGAATAAAAACGCAATGTTGTTTTTCTGGTATATTTTCAAACCATTTCGATTGCATTAGTAGTATTTTTCCATTGCTTTAAATTTAATACAATTCTTATTTTTTTTATTTATAGTGTAAGGTATTTTTTGCTTATGTGACCAAGTTCACTTTTGGCGGGGTTCAATAGACGTCAGAGCTTATTGTTTTGGAATGAGTCTTTGTGGTCTTTTAGTGTAATAAAAGCTTCAGATTTTACAATTACTTTTATTCATTTGCTTAAGATGAGTGTTTGCTATATTTTTGGCTTCGAGGTTAATTGAGTTTTCGAGTTTCTATGGGGCTTTTTTGTATGCTTTTGTGATATTTTCGTTAAGAAGTTTGGTGTGTTCCTGACTGGAAATTTGATAAATATTGTTTTGTCGGCGAATAATAGGGTTAGAGTTGCTTTTTGTATTTAATGTCTCTTTTTAATTTACTCTGAAATTCGCTGTTTATCTTTTTACATTTTATAAGGTTTATTAAATTGAGCTAATTGTTTTTTAAAATTTTCCGATTCTTTGCGTGTTACTCGTTTTGAACTCAAACTTTTCATTTGTTTTTGACTGGTTTTCTTTAATTTTGTTTTAGTTAAAAAAAATTTTCCAGCGGATTTGTTTTTTGAACGTCACGATGTTTATTAAGAGTATAATTTTTTTAATGAAAAAAACAACATACTTTTTACCTGAATGATTGCAAAACGCATGAATCTTATACATACTGTGATAGGAGAAATGAAACTATATATATATATATACTTTCTTTGTATTGATGTTTGGAAAGGAACTATTAAAATTTTGCAATCAATGTAAAATAATCACCGAATAAAATTATATGAATAAACTATATGATTTGTTAGTAAATTATTTAAATAAATTATATGGTGATTTGTTAGTACATATCAAAATTTAAATTTTTTAGTATAAGTCGATTAAAAAGTTAGTAATTTCAAAATAATTAATAATGAAGCAAAAAACATTTTATAATGTATACAATTAAAAAAAGATAATATTTTTGATAATTGAAGCAAATTACAACTTTTTTTATATTTTGTATACAAATACAAATTCTGAACTTTTTGTAGTTAAAATAATAATTTATTAGTCAAAATAAGATCTGTGTAGTATTATACAAAGAAAATGAAAACCATGTAAAACATAATATACTTTTAGAAAAACCTGCCATTTTTAATTTTTTTTAAAAAGTAATATTAAAAGATATTTGATAAAAACAAATGGGACAATCGATTTTATCGAATACTCATCCTCATTCATTTCGGAGAGTTAGAGGCGGAAATTCATTATCGTCACTAATTTTTACGTTTTGTTCAATTTCATTAGACGTTGACAATGCGGAACATGATGCATGTCTTGACGAAGAAACAGCCAATCCAGCTTGATAATGTTCACCTTCCTATATATTTATTAAATTTTTAAATAAAATTATTTTCTATTATTAAGTTATTAATTTTATGATTATTCTAAAATCATCTAATGTATGACATGATATCATTTAATGTTATGTAATATGAACATTATCTAGAATTATATAGTAAATTACCGGTACATTCATAACATCGCCTTCGCTTGGTATTAACCTTGAAAATGTAAAAAACAAAATATTTTTAAATGAGATTTCTTGAAAAAACTTCTTTGTATCATAAAACATTATTAAACTCTTTTATTCCTTTTGTTGGTTGCATTAGAAACCGTTCTATTCTTTATATTAACTAGCACTAAAAACCATTCTATTTCTTATTTTAACTACCATTAGAAACCGTTAAAAGCCATAAGAAAATTATTAGAGGAGTTCCTTTTTTTAAAGTCTACATGAAAATTTCACAATATTTGTTAAGATCTGATCGAAAATAATTCTGAGCACTTTATAATAAAATCTTTCTCCTTTTACCGATTCTTTCTTCTTCTCTCTCCTTTACCGATTCTTTCTTCTTCTCTCTCCTTTACCGATTCTTTTGTAAGGAACTTGAATATTCCTTACAAAATTAACTTAATGAAAACATAAATAAGTGAAAGTTAATTAAGTATTCCTTAATGGGACTTAATGAAAACATAAATAAGTGAAAGTTAATTAAGTATTCCTTAATGTCCGTATTTGTGAAAAACAAGAAGAAAAAAAATGGTATGCAACATAAAAATGCAACAATTTTCAACTTTATCAAGTAATGGTGTAGTAACGATTTTTTTTCTCTTTCTTTTTTGGATAAACTTCGAAAAGAAGTTCTTCAAATTTTTTTGAAAAAATTTTAAAAAACTTTTTTTCGAAAATTTTGAAAAAACAGATACTTTGTTTTACTAGATAATTGTCTTATAGATAATAGACGATTCTCCCATGGCTGGTCATATTCGATGATGTTATTGCTTAAGGCAATAATTTTTAAAACTTTTACATGTATTATATTTCAATAAATATTCTTCAATCAAAATTTCTGCATTACAGATTTTCAATCTTTTTACAAATGAAAAACACAACGTTTATCTTGATGAAGACACAACGTCTTCATGTTTAGTTATTTAAGTGCTCCAAGAAGACCTAATGGTCTTATCACATCGTGAAAGAGTATTTAACCAGGAAGTTCATGCCTCCATTCTCACCAATATTGTTTGGCCAGAGCTGCCATTGAACTTCGCACCTCTTGGTTTTGAGCCAGAACTCTAACCACTGTGCCACAGCTGCTTTGTTTTCATAACCTCTAGATACTGAAATCATTCATAGAAATACGTCCATTCTATTTGTGGTTTGCTTAAAAATAAAATTACTTTATGAACATACAATGTCTAAACAAGTTCACGCTACATGAACCTTTGATTATTACAAGATTTGTATTCATATTTGGTAGGTGTAACTCTCTTTTTTTTTACATAAATGGCAGCCCCTATTTCTTTGCTGCTCATTGTACCATCATAAGATTGACGAACCATATGTTGAAACTTAACTTCAGTTTCGATTTGCTGGATCTTGTAGACATGGCTTTTTGTTTGTGCCTCATTTTTACTGGCTATGCAGTACAAATGAATACAGCTCAAAAACTCAATTTAATGGTTTGGAGGTTAGTTGGTTGTATTGCTTCATTCAACATAAAAAACCACTACCACCAAATCGTTTTTTTAAATCAGCTAAGTAGTAACCAAGTAATTAAGTAGTAACCAAGTAATTAAATAGTAACCAAGTAAAATCAAACTAATAAAAACAAGTTAAAAAAAGATTTCAAATGTCTACAACAAATATGGAATGTTAAAAACCTCAAGAGTAACTAAGTAAAATTTTCCCAAACAAATTTTGTTAAAACATGATAATTATTTATGCGCCATCAAATATAATTAATAATCATAAACATATTTATCAGAAAAATTACTTACGAGAACTGTCTAAGAATCGGACACTCTTGACCATCAGTAGGATCAAGATTATATATATAAAGATAGCCGTCTGCAGAAGCCACTAAAATACGTGGCAGTTTATTGATAACAGCAAGTGCACAAATATTTCTCTGACCTAAAATAATTAAAAATTAGAACTTTAACCAAATATAAATTTTTGATAACTTTCTGTTCTCTAAAATTTACAATAAATAATTGAATAAAATGAATAGTATGATTTTTACATTATATATATTTGAAAATTAATATATATATATATATTATATATATATATATATATATATATATATATATATATATATATATATATATATATATATATATATATATATATATATATATATTCCAATAAACATAAGTCTGCACTGTCCTAATATACCGTACTGACTGAAAGACAATAAAAAAGAGTAATCAAAACAAACTTGTCGTAAAAAATGTCTTTCAAACTCTGTACCAAGAATGTACTTACATACTCTCAATTCTAGCCCTCATTTGATGTAATGAAGCCTCTGCATTTAGTCATTTTAGTATGAGATCATCAGTGACAATTTATGCATGGCTAAATTTGCTGAACAAATTACATTTAAATAATAACAAACAATTTATAAAACATATCTGACCAGCATTTGGTAGTTTTGCAATAGCAAATGCTCGACCTTGAGAAAAGACTTCAGTCATTTGAGAAGGAAGATAACTTGCAGGAGCCATAAGAGCTTTTCCAAAATAACCCATCCATGTTTGGCTACTTGGTTCTTCCTTAATAGTTCTAAAAAAATATTGCTTTTTATTCACTACAATAATTAAAATAATTTTTATAATTAAAATTATTTAAAATAATATAGCAATACTTTGATATGTAAACAATTAATGTTTTTTTAATTAAATCATTATTTAAATAAAAATAAGATTTTTGTTTGACATCAGAATTAACTGATTTATCTTAAGTAAATAAATGAGTTTAAAAGTAATAGAAAATAATCATAAATATAAGCCTAAAATAGTATGTCATTTTTAAAATGATATTGAACAAATAGTATTCAAGAAGTAAAAAGGTAATAAAAATAACAAAGAATATATATAGAATAAAAAGTAAAAGGTAATAAAAATAACAAAGGGAACTTGGGGAAGTTGAATACAAACTTACAGAAAACCATGGATGCAAAATTACATGAAACCAGATATTGTTATTAAATGTCAAAAGCACTTTTTTTTAAAACAATTTTTTAAAAACCAAAGTTTGTGTAAAAAATATTTAGGACTTGTTTATTAAAGGTTTTTGCTTTACACTGTGCGCACCATAGTTATTTAATAAACATACAACAACACTGTTTAATGTGTAAAAGATTCAAAACTCATAATTCCAACAGCTTAGAAATTTAGCCAGAGTTTAAAGTACTATAAATTATTTTTTTGATTAGCCAAAAATTATAAGTTTGATTAATTTAATAAATTTAAAATTTTAAAGTTAAGGTAAAAATGAAGATGAGGCAATCAAAAATTATTAAAAAAACCTTTTTTAGTTTTTTTTAATTTTTGCATTGGAATTTTGCTTAGAGTTTAATATCATTTGGCTCAAAAAAACTGTCATGGAATTTTTTTCATATTTGAAGAGTAAAAGGTTATTGCACCCAAAAAATTTATTATTTAAAAAAAGAAAAATTTATTTGATGTCACTAGCAAATCTCTACAATTAATTGTAACAAAATTTTCAATTACTACTTTGCCCTCAAAAAAATACAGTAAACAACAAAATGACAGTTTTAAAAAAAGCTATTTTTACATTTTTTTACACTAATTTTTTCGCACTTACAGCAAAACTAATTCTGTGAGAGCATTTAGATGTATTATGTGATGTATCTGTGAGAGCTTTTAGATGTATTATGATGTATTAGTAATATTATTATGTTAGTACAATAGGAAAATAATACATTAGACAGGTATTATGATGCTTTAGTTAGTTCAATCATCATAGCAACCATTAAATAAAGAACAACAAAGAACCACAAAAAAGAAAACAATATTAGGATATTTGATGGCGCGATCTTTGATGATTAATTTCAATTTTTTATTTTTTGCAAATGATATCATCAATTTTAGTTTTCAAACTGTTCAATAAAAAACAATCAAACTGTTAGATAAGAAACAATCAGCATACTAAAAAAAATTTTCAAGTAAAAACGAACAAAGGAATACTTATAATAAACAAAAAAATGTCTTCTTAAACAAAATAATTTTCTTTAAACAAAAGACAAAAAAATTATTTAAAAAAAAAAAACACAAGAAAAAATTTATTACTGTATGCAAACAAGTATTATTACAAACAAAAACTACAATAAAGTTAATAACTGAAGTATTCATTAAAGAGATAAATGTTATCATTTTTCTCTTGAATATTCAAGAGACTATCATTTATCTCTTGAATATTAAACAATACTTCAGTTATTTACTTTACTGTAATTTTAGTTTGGAATAATACTTGTTTCTATATTATATAAAAAACTATTATTAAAAACTATTGTAATAATACTAGTTTGTGATAATACTTGTTTATACTTTAATAATAAATAAAATTCTACAACAATATATATATATATATATATATATATATATATATATATATATATATATATATATATATATATATATATATATATATATATATAAAATTTATATTAATAACAATTAAATTTATTAAAAAACTTGGTAATTATTACCACTACAATTAAGTATTATAAAAATTTGCATTAGTTGAATTACTGAAAATTAATTATTGATACTTTTCTGTTTCTAATTTGAATACATGTACTGTTTCAGTGTTGCTTGAAGATGCTAGAAAAAGTGAGTCAGTACTGAATGCTAGAGAGTTAATCTGAGCACACCTAAAATAAAGACAAAAAGGAAATTTAGATACTAGTTTTAGTTATGGCTAAATCAAGAAACTAAAGTATGAACAAAGTACAAACCTTTTCATCCCTCTCCGAAATTCAAACAGTTTCAAGCCATCAGGTATAGAAAAAACTCGAATTACTGTTCCCTAAACGAATAACTTATTAAAATATTATATATATATATATATATATATATGTATGTATATATATATATATATATATATATATATATATATATATATATATATATACATATATATATATATATATATATATATATATATATATATATATATATATATATATATATATATATATATATATATATATATATATATATATATATATATATATATATATATATATATATATATATATATATATATTTATATATATATATATATATCAAGGGCTTATCCCTCTTAGAAAGTTATGAAATTTTTTATTTTTGTAAGTTTATATATTAAACACAGCAAGTTGTTTGAAAACAGAAATAATATAGTTAGGCTGTCTAAATAAAATTATAATTTTAATAAAACTTTAAAATTGTGTGATTGCTTGCATACAAATTATTAAATCTGAAACTCACCCCACCCCCATTACCTGATTTTCTGCATCCCCCAATGAAAAAAAGTTTAAAATTGCCCTACGACATGGTCTGCATCCGCCCTTGGTGTATATATATGTATATATATATATATATATATATATATATATATATATATATATATATATATATATATATATATATATATATATATATATATATATATATATATATATATATATTAGTGTTTTAAAAAAACAACTTTTGAGTTAGCCACAGATCTTGACCAACCTCTGCTTCTCCTAGCATGCACACATTACATCTATGAAAGACATGATGGAACATTTATTAGAGCATCAAAGCAAATGGTCTGGATAGTTCTTTGTTTAAGAAACTCAAAAAAAATGGAACTCAATCGAAACTCTATTGTGTTAAAAGTAAAAACTGAATATATTTTTGATAAAACAATTAAGAAGCTATTAAAATTCTGAGCATACCTTTTAAAAAAAAACATATTAATGTTCTGTTTTTAATTTAATAAACAGTGTTTATTAAAATAAAAATAATCTTAAATAATAATGCCAATCCTTAAGTTATTATTATGTTATTTAAGGTGCCAATCCTTAAATAATACTATTTATTAAAGTAAAAATGTTAGTGGAAACAATTTGACTTTATTGTAGAGGATGGAGGAGGGGGAAAGAAAGGAAAGGGATATAGAGGAGTAGGTTTAGGGAGGATGTTGAACTAAATTAATTTGATTCAACCTCCCTCCCCCCATATATATATATAAGTTTTTAAAACTGGTGGATAAACACTTTCCTTCCTCTAATAAATTACATAAAATATTTAATCCAAATACAATTAAAGTTAGCTACAGTTGCACAAAAAATATGCAAAGAATTATAAAAGCTCACAATATTGCTAAAGAAATCCTAAATGAAAAAAATTACAGAAAATTGTAATTGTAAACAAAAAAAATAATTGTCCAATGAGTGGAAAATGTTTATCAAAAAACCTGGTATATAAATCTGTTGTTTCCTATAAGAATATATCTGATAGACAATATATTGGCTTAACAGAGAGTGAATGGAAAAAGCATTTTACCAATCATAAGCAATCCTTTAATAATAAAAAGTATTCAAAAGACACTAGGCTAGCAAAAGACATATATGAATTTAAAAAATAGAAACATTGATGATTTTATACTGAATTGTTCCATCTTTAAAACAGAACCTGCATATAATATTAATTCCAAAAAATGCATACTATTCCTACAAGAAAAACTTGAAATAATTACACATGCGAACCAAGAATGTTTAATAAACAAAAAAATGAAGTTGATTTCTAAATGCAGGCATGAAAATAAGTTACTTCTAAAAAATTATAAAAATAAGTGAGCTCAAAAATTGATTATATTAAATCCCCCATATTTAAAAAAAAAGCAGAAGTAAACAATTCTAAAGAATTCAACAGCATATTTCACAAATGTGTAAAAATTTACAAAAGCTGAGATATTTATGACTTCCTGTAATTTAGTCAATAAACTAATGGTTAGACATTTAACTTTGTACAGATGCCTGAGCTGGTTTTGCAGCAGGTTATTCATAATCATATGAATTATGTAGCTTGCAAACAAGACAAATTTTGGTGGATGGAATTATAACCAAAAAAGATTAAAGAGAAGGAAAATTAAATTTATTCATCCAAGCCCAAGTTCTTCTTGGGCTGCACAGGAGGATATGTGTTGGATCCCATAAAATTATGTTTTATGTGCCATTGATTAGCCATCTACAACAAATGATTGCATATATAAAATTTCAGAAATTGAGTTAGCAAAAGTTATTGAACAAAATTTCTTTTTTATATTTTTATGTTATTTTTTCAAATATATAACTTTATGTGAGTCTACATAATAGTGAATATAGTATATGTGTAATTGGCACAACTTGGCTACTCAAAAAAATTCTTCTGGTCACTTGACTTTATGTTTTTGACCAAAAAAAAAAGTAAGGGGAGCTTGCAAAACCCTTAATTGCTCATCCCCTCACCCCCAGATCATGAGCCCTCCCCAGGTACAAAAAAAAGTAGAAATAAAGTATAAATTTATTATTGTCCTCAAAAAGACATAAACAATAACTTTTTACAACATAAAATAATTTTTTTCATAAATAAGTTTTATGCCTATTCAGCATAAATAATTTTATGCCTATTCAGCATTTATTTATTTTACTTACTTAAAAGGTATTTAGAAACGTTGAAAAATGCAGTAATATATTTTTATTATTAGTGATGTTTGAGACCTATATTGTAATTTATAAAAATGTCTCAAGGAAAATTATCAAGGTGACATCACCATTTTGATCCTTAAAATATTCCAAAATATCTGCCTTTATTATTAAATTACATGTAATTAAGGTGGTCTACAAAAATTTTAAATTTAAATTTTGTATCCGCCATGTGGAAGATTGTCTATGTACAAAATTTCAGTGTGATAACTCATTTCATTCATAAAATATTGCTATTTAAGGTGTTTGACCACTAATTAAATCAAATCCTTCAAAAATTACAATTTAGATATTATTTACATCTAATTTGATTAAATTTACTTTTAAATAACAAAATTAATTAAAAAAAAGTTAAACATTGTTTTTGGTTTTAGAAATTTGGTCCCAGAAACCCCAAAACATCATTATTTCATTGCGGTGATTATCTCAAAAACTGTTTGTGTTATTAACTTGAAATTTTTTTAATTTACTTTTAAAAGAAGATCATGTACCAAAATCAAACAAATATTATATAGAACAGATTTTTTTATAAAAAAAACACTTAAAGACCAAATAATATATTTTTGACCATATTTGGACTTAAAAGTCTTTGAATCAAATTATCATATTGTAATAAAAGTGATGTCCATAACAACAAAAGAAATCCTGAAAATATCATAAAAATTGATTAAGTAAATCTTGAGATATTCACCGTAAAGTGATTTGAGAAAAACATATTTAAACAAATAAAAGCATAAAATTATTCAAATAAAAATAAAAAACTCACATAAAAAGAATATTGACAAATATCATCTTATATTAAAAGTGTTGTGAAGTAAAAGTAAAAAGTTATTGAGAAAATTATAAAAATATTGTTTTAAAAGATAGGTTATATTAACAGACAGAAAAATATTTTCAAAGTTAAATTTAAATAAAAAAAGATTAAGTATCACTTATGATTATATTTGTAATTTAGTTTCAATTAAAAACTCCTATCAGTTTAATATTAGTAGTTGTTACTAATAAATAAATATCAAGAACATATAAACTAAAATTATAATGCACCATAAAACTTCATTACTCATAATAATTTTATTTTCAGAACTTCTTCACTGCAGCATTCATCACCTATGTAACTATAATTGTTATAACTTCAAAACTTTTCTATACTATGGTATTCTTTAGCCGTTTCTCAAAAAACTAATATTGCACATAAATAAACATCAAGTTTATTGCTGCTGGTTTGCTTATAGTTTTGGTAGAATAAAACTTCTGCTAACCCTGGCAAGATGCTGATGAACTTAGGAAATAGTGTTTCATATTGTTTTATAACCATATTATTTTGAGCATCATGAAAAGTTATAAATGTAGAAAATTTTTGACAGTGAACAATGGCAGCTATTATTTCATCTCATATTCATGAATATGTAAGTCATTTGTAACATTGAACTGATCATAATTTTTTTGGTTTTTAATAGTAGTTTACCACATAAACAACAAAAAAGTAATTTGCAAAAAATGCTGACTCAGCATAAGTAAGAAAATTGAATCCTGAATATCTCAGGAACAATAAGGAGGTTTACAAATTTCAGATTTTCTTAATTTTAATAAACACTATAACATATTTAAAAAAATTAGCAAAATCCAATACATTGCATAGCATAAGCCTGTTGATTTGACATGGAATTACCTGTATGTCTTTTAAACTTTTTTAACACAGTGCCTTAGAAACGCTGTCAGCCTCTCACTCCTATTTTATTATCGATTTCTTCTGTATTTTTTAGTATTTACTGATTTAATAACTGATGTTATGTAGTCTCTATGTCATTAGCTAAAAGTGAGCAGAGTTAAAAAGATTGATTATAGATAAATTTGTAATTTATAATTTTCAGATTATCAAGATAACTAAGTTTAATTGTTATTTGTGATTTATTTACTAACAACCCATATTACAGGTTCTTCTGCTAGTAACCATTAAATTACAATTGTTTTTTGCAAATAATTTTTTGTTGTAATATAACAAAAATTTATTTGCGTATTTTAATGTTATAAAATTTTGCAATAAAACATGCTATGAAAAATGGTAGATCTTATTAAAAATAACCAGCACTTTAAAACACAATCTAAGAAATAAATTGATCAACCTGTATTTGAGGTCAAGACCTCTGTTTTTGAGGTTTAACATATGAAATAACAGTTTATAAACTAAATAAATTAGATTTCTCAAGTCTTTCAAAGCTTTTAACTAAATTCCATTCTTTCAAGATATTGATTGCAACAATTTAAGGATGCCAGGAAAACTTAGCAACTGCATCAAATAAAAATATAGGTTTGCAAACAATCAAAGAACTATATATTTTTTCTTTATTAATAAGTATAATCCAGTCACTTTAATAAATTTTCTAGATATTTGAAAATAATAATAATAAGAAGAAGAAATTAAGGAGAGCAGGTTTTAACATTTTTTAAGGTTATTTAAGGCTTTTAAGGAAGAATGGGAACCCTGATTATATAAAATAAAAGCAATTCAATAAAAAACTTTTACGTTTTAAAATAGAGATACTATTCAAGAGCTAAGGTTATCTTTTTAAATGTAATTCATACAATCATCATTTCAAATCTCTTATTTAGTAATCATAACATAAATAAATTTTGCTAACGGATCGTTGATAATGTCATGCTGACATATAGTATAGTACCGTCATGTTAATGTTCTTAACATTTTTGTACAAAATTTCTGTTATATCCGAAGGAATATACCGTAGGGGTATTTAAATAAATTTTTAAAAAACTAAAAATAAATCATGCAAATTAAAATATTTAAAAACAAATCATCAATAAAAACATTTTAAAAACAATATATTAATTGACATATTTGGTATAGGTTCTTAACATGGATGTAGGTTTTTGACATGGGTGTAGGTTCTTGACATGAGTATAGATTCTTTTAATATGAAAGAGACTAATTACAACAACTAATAACATTTTTAACAAAGTATTCACCTTTTCTGAAGCAGTTGCAAGTAAGGTTGCATGAGTATTGAAAGTGATTGCGGCTAGTGGAGCATCATGAGCTGCAATTAAAGTCACTGCTCGCTATGTAAAATATAAAAAAATATATATATTATAAAAAACGACTTTAAAACATATATTTATAAAAAAGATATTCAAATTATGAACAAATAAATAACAAAAATGAATATCTATACCAAATTTATTCCATCAAATATTTGAACTTCACCAATCTATAATAACAGTATTAATAATAAAAACAATATATAGATATAAACATTTAAAATCAGGTCAACCAAGTACTTTTTCTGTTGAAAATTTTTTTCAAAATTGTTATATAAAGATACTTTAACTCCTACTTGCTAGAGATAACTTAAGACTTGCTGGAGATAAAAAGACTTAAGACTTAAGAAAGATACTTGCTGGAGCCTTTTTTTAATCTGAGTTAAAAACTTTTATTACAAGAAGTTGTTATTTAACAATAATAATAATAACAATAAAAGTAATAATAATAATATTAACAATAAAACAATATGGTACTTAATAGTAGTTGAGGCCTTTTGCACACTTCGCAACACAGAATTTTTAAAGAAATGCAAAGAGCGAAGAGCGCTGTTGTGTAACCTCTACAACAAAATAACTATAGAAAGTTTATACTTTGTTTTTAAATAAACTATCGTAACCTTTTTTTATATTTACTTATCTACTTATTTTTTATTTATCTATTTATTTTCTATTTATCTATTTTTATCTATTTATTTTTAATAATATTGTTACATTTATAGTGTGAATCGCTTTTTTTTGAAAATATTTAAATGTCTAATGTAAAATGTTTTCTAATCTAACTTTGTTGAGTTGTTCTATATTTTAAACTGATAGATCACAATAAAATAGAAATAAGCATGCTGTTATTTTCCTTACTTTTATTAAATATTGTATTAACCTTATGTTTTTTAACAACTTTCTTGGTTTGTTTTAATTTTATTTAGAATGCTGCTTTTTTAAGTAAGTTTGATAAGTTTTAGGATTCTAGGTTTTCACTGACTAAAAAAGCAGCGTTTTAAACTCATTCAATTCAACACACTACTTTAATTTAAAATGCCTGGTAACTAACTTCATAACCTTTATAGCAGAAGTTAAGAAGTTTTTAATGCTAATTATTAATTAATAGCTTATACAAAATATAATTATTCTTAGTACTATTTACTAAAAGCTATTGGTTGAATGAATAAAAATATCTTATTAATATTTTATGTGATGAACTTTGATATTTTACTGCGTAGTATGATATTTTACATTTAAAATAATTTTTTATTAATTTTATGAACTACTGCTTACATCAACTGACTTTGATAAAGAGAAAGAGAAGGGAGGAAAACCCTGATTCAACATATGTACACTTCTTCGCATATAAGTCAACTAATGTATATACTAGGGTGGTTCAAAAAATATCTGCACCTTTCATCTAAATGTGTTCAATATGAAAAAATAACACTGGATTTAAAAGTTTTTTGAATAAAAAATATTTTAGGGGTGCCTTAAAAACCTTACCCTTAAACATTTAATGAGTCCTCAAGACCCTTGAGCATTTTCTAATCTTTAATCATAAATTATCATTTCTTCTTTTAGATAATTGTCTTGTTTGTTTTTAAAATTGTTCAAGGATGACGCATTTACAACGTCATCTGGGAGGGAGTTACATTTGTTGACTACTCGTACGGTAAAAAAGTTTTGACAAGAAGCTAGAGGACAATAAGGTTTTTCTAGTTTAAATGAAGTCCTCTTGTAATAGAACTTATAACTGTTTTTGGAAAGATCGTTTGACAGTTGTAGCAGTTGTTTAGCCATTTATAGATGTTTATTAAATTTCCACAGATTATGGTTGTCAAATTAATTTTTATTAGTCTTTAGATTACATGTTTGTAATCCATGAACTAATTAAGATGCTCTTCTGAGTATATTTTCAACTTGTCATTTGTCTTTAAGTAGGCAATGCTTACATACAGAAGGCTTACATACAGATTCACAATATTCTAAATATGGTAAACTAGTGCTGAAAATAGTCTTTTAAAACAAAATAAACTTAGATAAGAAAAGGGTCTTTTTATTAGAAATAGTATTCACATTGCTTTATTAATTTGTATGGAGGTATGTTTAGAGAAGTTATTATCAATATGCATTCCGAGTTAGTGAGATTTGATGTCAATCTTTTTTTTCTTTACTCATACATACATACATAGAATAGACATGATGTCTGTTTTTGTAGCCTAGGTGTAGAATTAAACATTTTTCTAAATTAAATTTCATCCCCCATTTAGTCGCCCAGTCAACCAAGATATCAATATCATTTTGAAGTAAATATCATGTTGAAGTTTTGTACGGTGTGTGAATGCATATTAGTAAGAGGGTAAATTATTTTGTACCGTCAGCAAAGCATGCTGCATATGAAGTAATTATATTGGGAATATCATTAACATATATAATGAATAATAGAGCTGAGAGAACAGAACCTTGGGAAACTCTACTTTTTTCTGGTTTGGTTCCCAATAAGAGTAATTACCATTTACCATTATTCTTTATCTTTATTTTGTGAGAAACTTTCTTATCTGATAGAGAACCGGACCATTAACTTCATAGGCTTTTAGTTTCAAAAAAAGATGCTCATGTGGGACTTTGTTAAATGCTTTTTCAAAGTCAAGGTAAACATTATCGACAGGGAGACGTTTATCTAAATTAGGTGTCCATGCATTGATTACAGTAAGAAGATTTGTTTCACAAGAACGCCTTAGATAAAAACTGTGTTGACTAGGAGTTAGCAGATTACTTTTTAACAAATGAGTAAAAATGTTTTTGTATTATTTTTTCAAATATTTTGACTATGGTGCATGTTAAAGCGACAGGTCTATAGTTTGTGACTTGTTTTTCGTCTCCTTTTTTGAAAATTGGTATAATATTTGCCTCCTTTCAGATTTGTGACAATGTACTAGTATACTCATAAAAGTATCATATATAAATCTTGTAAAGTCAAAGCTAAGACCAAAAACACATGAAAATTTATTTATTCAAATAAATATATTAAAAAAATTTCATATGTAAAATAAAATTCAAAAATAACTATTACCCTATTATTTCCTGGGTATGCAAGGTAACAATTCTCTGCATTGTCAGAAAGAGCACATAAACCTAAATTTATTTTAAAAAAATTTTATGAAAAATAATGAATTTTCTAACCAACATGATTATATAAACCAATAGTAACAATGTAACCAACAACATTTAACAACAATGTAACCAACAAGCAGTAACAAACTAAATGTTTAATTTAATTTGTAACAATCTAACCAACAAGCAGTAAAAATTTTAATGTTCAAAAGTTAAGCTGCCAATAAAGCATTTGTTGAAAATATGTTGCATCTAACATGTCAGTTACTGAAAAAACATGATGCATATAACATGATAAAACATGATGCATGTAACATCACAAAACATGATGCATGCAACATGATAAAAAAGTTTGCAAAATAACAAAAACATAACAACATACCAAATCGATTTGGTGGCGTATCTCTGATTGTATGCAAAACCTTAAAATAAAAACTTAAAATAATGAGAACAAAATAAAAATTTTTGTTCTCATTATTTTCAAAAAGTTTTAAAATCAAAAAATTAAAAATAATATGAATATAATAAACAATTATATATACCTATATATCTATAAATTTATATATATATATATATATATATATATATATATATATATATATATATATATATATATATATATATATATATATATATATATATATATATATATATATATATATATATATATATATATATATATACAGTGGGCAAAATAATTGTCCGTACATTAATGAAAAGTGTCTATATTTGATCAAAACAACATTTAAAAGTATTTAGATAGTTGTAATTAAGAGTTTTTAAAGAAATATTATAATATTAAACTCATTTTAAGTGTATTAGTTAAAAATATATTAATATATAAAAGGTTATATAAGTTTATTTGAAAAGAGTTAAAAGTTTAAACAAAAAAATTGTCCGTACACTATGTTAATTTTTAAATTAAAATTAGTTAAAATTAAATTAATATCTTGTTGGACCACCATCAGCTTGAATAACTGCTCTACAACGATTTTTCATTGATGAGACGAGTTTAGACATAATTTCTTGATTAATTGATGACCAAACATCTAAAACCAATTCTTTGAGCTCGTTTTTATTCTTTGGAGCTCGATCTTTCATTCTTTTTTCCACCGCCGACCATAAATGTTCTATAGGGTTCAAATCGGGCGATTTTGCAACCCAATCCAACACGTTAATGCCATTTGCAGCAAGATATCTGGTTACAGATCCAGCTTTGTGTTTTGGATCGTTGTCATGTTAGAATATAAATTCCGTTCCAAGTCCTAATTTTTCTGCTGAAGCCACCAAATTCCATTCTAATATGGATCTATATAAGTGTTGATCCATTTTCTCATCAATAAATTCAATTTTGCCAACACCAGACGCACTCATGCAGCCAAAACCATAACATTTCCACCACTAAATTTAAATGTTGTCTTCAAACACTTCACATTATATTCTTCTCCGACTCTTCTATAAACTTTTGCACCACCATCAGCTCCATATAAATTAAATTTACTCTCGTCTGACCAAATAATCATATTCCAGAATATTTCATCCTTCAGAACATGTTCCTTTGCCCACTGCAACCGTTTTCTCTTGTTCACTATGCTGATTAATGGTTTTCTCCGAGGCGTCCGTGCAAAAATATTGGCTTCATGCAGTCTGTTCCTAATTGTTTGTGGCGATAATTTAATATTTAATTCATTTTCCAGCTCTTTTGATACTTCTACAGCATTTTTTCTTCTATTCTGCTTGATTTTCCCAACTATGCATCTTTCCCAACTCTTGGCGTTGTTGATCTTTTTCTGCCTCGTACACCATTATTTGCCATTGATTTTGTTTTTAAATACTTTTCCCATATATATTGAACAGAGCTTGGTAGTATTTTCTACATTTTTGCAACTTTTCTGATTGATAATCCATTTTCCCTATTAAAAATTACTGGTTTACGTAAGTCAATACTATATTCTTTTCTTTTTGCTTCCATCATAGCCACGTAGTAAAGAAAAGGTTTATTTTTATTTATTATAGTATTATTTAACCTAAAAGTACAAGATGTTAAAAAAAAATCATTTATTAACAAAATTTTACGTTTTGAATCAAATGTACGGACAATTTTTTGGTTTTAAAATTTTTAAAACTTTTAAATAAGTTAATTATAATTTAAATTGTCAAATTAAAGATAGTGTATCGTTTTTATTTGTTTTCTTGTGCGCTATCTATTGGTTTAATTTATTTTTTTCTATCATTTAAAGTTATAGAGCTTTTTTCAAAAAACCATATTTTTCATTAATGTACGGACAATTATTTTGCCCACTGTATATATATATATATATATATATATATATATATATATATATATATATATATATATATATATATATATATATATATATATATATATATTAGGATTATGACTTTTTTGTGACCCTATATTGCTGGGTCACAAATCGATAAATATTTGTCATAAGAAATAAAAAAAATATCAACTTGATTTTCTTGTTGAAAAAGGACACCTGCAAACCAAAAATACAAAGGGATAAAATTTCAAACAATTTTATGACTGTTATTTTTTAATTCTATTTTTTTAATTGGAGAGTTATTATGTAGCTTTTAGGCATTTAACAGTTTATTGTTACATCATATCATTTTACAAGTACAATTCTACAAGTAAAAAAATATACTTTTTGCTTCTTTAAATTTAACAACTCCTTTAATTGTTTATCTGAATATACCAGTCTATAAAAGTCTCTGAATGTTATCCCATCTTGAGATAACTGTCGATGAATGGTTGCTACTTTGCTGGTTGATAACTTTGAAGATGTTAATATTTTGGTTGCAGTTTTGGTTTTGCTGTAGTTCTTGCTGGTACTTGTGGACGGTTCTTCTGAATCTTCAGACTCTTGATGTTCTGCCTCAGACTTGGATTCAGAAGTTGATGTTGTTGCTGTTATTTGTTTTACAACAAAAGCAACAACATCAATTTGTTTGTTCCTTTGTTTTACATAGTTATCATACATCTTCAGTACTTGATCCAGTTTTGCTTACATGACTTGAATTTAAAAAATTTAATTTCTTTTGCCATAAACTCGTAACATCTTGCTCAATTGCTTTATGGATTTGCCTTATGTGTTCTCGTCTCCCTTCAATCGATTCTTCCAGGAACAGAGCGACCAACAATTTGAATTTTGAGTGATATGCTGCTGTTATCTTTCAGTGTTACATTTTAGTGTTAATCTTCTAGTTAAACAGTTCATATTTTCTTATGTGACTCATAAAATTGTATGAGATTCTTCATCCAGATTGCCTTGTTACTTTCAGTAGTGGAAGCACTTTTCTTATACAACATTATGACTGAAGATAATACTTAAATATATTTCTGAAAGGCAATAATAAATATAAGTGCTATTGTACATCTACATTATTTAACTCCTATCTAGTGAATACAGATCCATATTTAATTACAATCGTTGAACAATCAGGCAGCTTATATAGTCTAATTCTTGCTGATTTCTAGAAGACTCCAGAAAGTTTTAAAAAGGTTTAGAGATTTCTGAAAACATCCAAATGAGTCCAGAAAATTCTAGAAAGTTCCATAAAGTTCAAGAAAATTCTAGGCTTCAGAAAGTCATAACGCTATTGCTTGCAAATACTATTTATATACTATTTTAAAAATTTTGTATTGTGTATTATCTTTTTTGAAAGTTATTCAAAATAAAACTCATTTTCATTACTTTTGAACAAAAGTAATTTATGACACAGGAAATTAATTATTTTACAAAAAGTTAAAAAGTCATAACCCTAATATATATATATATATATATATATATATATATATATATATATATATATATATATATATATATATATACATATATATATATATATATATCTTAGGAATTAAAATGACAAGTATTAATTGCACAAAAATTTACAAAACTGTTTTATTGATAAAACTGTTATGAAATGACCATTTTTGATTATTTTATTTTATCATTTTTCAATTTATATTTTATTGTTTTATATTTCTTGTATATTATTTTTAACAAATACTATTTTTGAAAAAGAAAAAGCATTAAAAAACTCAAACTCTTTGTTTTCTATACTGTTCCTCAAACAGTATAGAACCTAAAGCTAAATATTTAAATGTTATTTAACAAAAATTTGTTTTAGACATGATTAAACAAAGAAAAATTTATAGAAAAGTCCACGAACTTACAAATTATTCATTTACAAAAGTAGAAGAACCTGCACATTATGGCAATAGTATTTCATACAAAGACAAATAAGAGATTTATAGAGGTAGAAAATAAGAGATTTAGAGAGGTAGAGAATAAGAGATTTATAGAGAAAGAGAATAAGAGATTTATAGAGGTAGAAAATGGAATCAGGAGTGAAAATATGGCAAGCAAAATAAAGAAAAGCAACGTTAGCAGAAGCTAACTTTGAAATGTATGTATGGTTTCCATATGAGATCAGTGGTGAAGGAAAAAAAGATGTAGAGAAATATCGGAGTCATTTTAAAGTAATAGGCATCAACAATAAGATCCAAAGATGAATTTAAATTAATTTTAAGTTTTGAAGGAGATAAGATTTGGCAGGTGAAAAATTGTTTTGAAGACCATAAATATTTTTAAAAATAGATTAAAACAATTTGGTGATAATGATGTTTTTTTATGCTTAATAATTTTTTGTACTCTACTCATAATTTAGGTAAAGAAACTTCAAACATGTAAGTAACTCAAACATGAAAAGTAATTAACAATCTAAGCAATAAGCTATACAGTTACTTCATTCCTGCTAATTGACCCAAAATTTACATGTTAATTAACAGGAATGAGACATAACAACTAGTTGGTCTCAAAACTATTAATTTGAGTTTTAGCTGTACTTTCATTAGTAAATAAAAAATATTTTGCAAAGCCACTACCAAGAAGACACAAATAAAAACCCATGAGTAGAGTCAAAAGGATCTAATGTTCATTGTCTTAGGCAGGATAAAATAAAACATAAGTTTCTATTATGGCAGCCTTTTAGATAAAGAAGAGATGTAAGGCTGGTCAACAGAAATGTTCTATTTACACTGTAAGTCTTTGTCTACAAGATCTTCTACAAGATAGTAGGCTGATGCAGTTAACGTTTGTCCAGAATGAGAATTTTTATTGACGCAATTTCTAGCTTTAACTCAATCAAGAGTCAGAGTTACCAGCTTCCTTGCCTAGTTACCAGCTTCCTTGCCTAGTTATCAGCTTCCTTGCCTAGCTACCAGCTTCCTTGCCTAGAAAAGCAAATCCTACAAAATGACACGAAGCAGGTTGTAATAGATTACATAGTAGATAACATCCTAATCCTAGCCTGACCTGATTTTGGTTGTTCTAACTTTTAAATATGATTTGCATTATATAGTTGTTAAATAATTAGAGGATAACTTCTGGTGAATTTTTTATAAAGTAATGGTAATATTGTTTCACTTTCATTATTTGTTTAAATAGTTTTCTGTTCAAGTAAAAAAATGTTTTAGTAGAAAAATGTGAGGAATATTACCACAAAGCAATTTTTATTAAGTTTCTGATTCCAACAAGAACTTCTTTGAAATGTAGTAAATTGAGTTATACTGAACAAAATCTATTTATCAATTATTCGAAACATTTTAATAACAACAATGAACTGATAAAAAATTATGTTTTTTTATTTTTATTTAAATTTAATCTACAATGGAAAAATCGATGAAGCTGGGAAAGCAACCAATCTCTCCTCTAGTAGATCCAGTATAGAGGATTACCAAATAAAATAGTAAAAAGTACCGATCATACAGTTTATTTTGAAAGTGAGCCAAAATATCTGTCAAGCTTTTTTTTGAAAATGCTAATGTTGACAATATCTGGTACATTTCTATCGAAGGTAATATTATCTAGTGGTAGTGCATTCCAATCAACTGTCACATAGTTACATTAAAAAGTTTTGTGCGCAACATGGACCAGCCACCGGCTGGTCCAGGTTGCGCAAGTGCAGGAGCAGGAGATAGTGATTCGATCCATTTAACTTTGCTTATGTAAATCTTAAAATATTGTATAAGATCACTTCAGTACCTTCGATTTTCAAGTGATTGGATACCAATAGCTAAGCAGCGTTCCTTAGCTTTCATGGTTCGCAGATATAGGACAAGTTTTGTGGTTCAATTTTGAACAGTTTTAAGCTTTTATATTTTCAACTGAAAAGGGTCCCTATGCTGCTGAGCAATATTCCAATTGAGGCATTACATAAGAGCAATATAGGACACGGAACATTATCAAGAGTCCAGTGTTTGAAAGTGCGTCTAAGAATTCCAAGAACAGTATATGAATTTGAAATAGCTTTTGCTACTTGACGGTTTCACAAAAACCAATTGTGAACAACAACACCAAGATCACATTCAGAGTTGGTCTCTTTAATAATGTGAGAAAAGCCAGTTTTGTTAGTCATTTTTAGTTGGAAGCAGGGATCATTAAATTTATCATCAACAAAAATTTTGTTGTTTAATTGTTGTGTGTGACAATACTTGTTGAAAATCATATAATTGCATTTTTCTAGATTAAAGCTCATTGACTGAGTATCAGCCCAGTTAACTAATCTATCGATGTTGGTTTGTAATCGCTGCAGGTCAGAGGACCCTTTTATAATCACAATAATTTTGGTGTTGTTAGCATAAAGTTTGCAATGGTGATTGAGCAGACGAGGCATATCATTAATAAAAATGAGGAATAGTAATGGTCCAATACATGAACCCTGAGGTACACCACTGAGGACATTCAACCAGTCGAATTCTGAATTTTCTATAATAACTTGTTTTTGTTGATCGGATAGGAGTGTATTTATCCACTGACAGATATATTCGTCAAAACCATACACACTAACTATTTTAAGAAGTAGCGAGTGACTAACTTTATCAAATGCTTTCGCAAAGTCAAGCAAAACTACAACCACGTCATAACGTGATTCCATAGCATGGCTAATAAAATCAAATGATTCCCAGGTGTAAAGCTATGTTGGTTTGCGTAAAGGTTTTTCGAAGTACATGTTTAAGCATTGCATTTCTAACAAGTCGTTCCATCATTTTGCATAGAACAGATGTAATTGAGATTGGGCAGTAGTTTTCAGGATGGGTGTTTTGACCTTTTTTGTAGATAGGTGTAATATTAGCTAACTTCTAGCTATTTGGAACTGAACTTGAGCAAAAAGATTTGCGAAAAAAGATTTAAATTGAAATTTAAAAGTGCATTTCATTTAGCATATGGGGATGAAAATTATCTATCCCTGCAGGAAACAAAGAAAAAAACCGCTTATCTTAAATTTGACATTTCTACTCAACTCGTGATTATATTTCCAGAATAGTCAACAAGAGCGTGAAGGCGTTCTCTAAATGATTTTTGCTTGGAGGAGACACTTAGAGATGGTAATGAATTTTAGAAAGTGTGAAAAAATTGGAGACACTTAAAGATGATAAGAAATTTAGCAAAATGTGAATTTACTAGGAGACACTTAAATTTATGGTAATGAGTTTTAGAAAGTGTGAAAAAACAAATAGTTATTTATGAAAACAAGAAATTAATCTTTGGGTTTTTTACCACTACTAAACTGATATTAGATTATATAATATTGTTAAAAGGTAAAAAACTTCACTTTTGACAATAATGTTAAAACAAATCAGACAAGTTTGCTATAAGCAATTTAAATTAATTAAAAATTCAATGTTTCAATCAACAAATGTATTATTAAGTTATTTTTTACTTGTTATTTGAATATAAAAACATTAAAACTAAAGCTCTTAGCATGTTTTAACAATTGAAGAAAAACACATTACTGATATAAAAAATTAAGGAAAAAACACATTTTCAATATAAAATTGAGGGAAAAAATGCTTTATATAAAATAATTGAGGAAAATAATAATCTTTAAATAAATAAAAAAACAAGTATACTCAAGTATACAACTCAAGTATACAACAAGTATACAACTCATAATGTTTTAAATGCAATATTATTACTTAAGGCTTTATAACCTGATAAACTAGAACTGATAACTTGATAAGAAACACAGAATACTTTATATTTTTTCTTGCGAAGAAATTCCTCTTAACAAGGAAATGATAAGACATATTTATATATATAAGGTATATAACACAGGTGAAAAACTGATATGATAATTATATAGCATGATGTAAATAATTTATTATATACTATATACTGTATATAAAAAGTATATACTATAGATTAAAAAAAAATCACCTTCATGTCTCGTATATTGTGAATATATAAACTTTCTTCAAGAACAACTAACAGTCTCTAAAAAAAAAAATCTCTTTAAAAATTCTAAAAAGATATCAAAGTTATTGAAATAAATTAACTAACTCACAAATAAATATTAGTACAACTTTTACAATGATGTTGTTGAACACAACCCAACAAAACATGCTTATAATAAATATATTTTTATAATAGATACATACATATCTTTTCTCTTTAACCCTATCCTTTGTTCTCGAGTAACTCAAAACTTAATAGTGGTTGCTTGAAACCTTGTCGGAAGTGAATTAGGTTAAAAAAAGATAAAAACATGCTAGTATGCAGTAAATGTATGCATAAATATATTATATATAAAGTATTATAAATTATTTCCTAGCCCCGCTTATTAACATCTGCTGAATCTTATATTTTGAAGGGGGCAGATTTGTAAAAAGTCCTATTCTTAGCTAGGGCCAGGACCCTGATCTTTTACTAATGTACTGAATGATGTCATTCAGTACAATAGTAAGTAACATATTCAGAATGATGTCACACTAGATAAACAGGCATTTTACTTTATAGAATTTATTTGGAGTACAATATATATATATATATATATATATATATATATATATATATATATATATATATATATATATATATATATATATATATATATATATATATATATATATATATGTGTATATATATATATATATATATATATATATATATATATATATATATATATATATATATATATATATATATATATATATATATATATAACATAGACATAGAACAAAGTAAAATATTATCTAATATTATCTATAAATTATCTTATACAAATTTATAAATTTAATAAATCTAACACAGCATTAAAAAGTTGTTTCCATTATTTTTCTTCATTTTTTTCTTTTACATAATACTTATTTTCAGTTATATAATACATATTTTTAAGTAAAATTTATTATTTTGTTTGAAAAATGTTACTTACTACTCTGTTTAAACGAACAGCAAGTATTGTATTAGGATAGCTATAGTTGCATATCTCAGTTCCTTTCTAAATAAAAATTGCAAATAAATATATATATATATATATATATATATATATATATATATATATATATATATATATATATATATATATATATATATATATATATATACATATATATATATATATATATATACATATATATATATATATATATATATATATATATATATATATATATATATATATATATATATATACATATATATATATACATAATAACATTAGTAATAATAAAAACAACAATACTTATTATATATAATAATAAAATAATAATAATAATACTAATAATAATAACATTAGTAATAAAAAAAACAACAATACTTATTATACTACTGTGATCAAAAAGTAAGGTGAATTTTTTTATAAAATGAAAAATCTTTATTTATTCTTCCAAATCTGTATCGTCCCCCTCAAAATAATCCCCCCCGGCCCCAATGCACTTTTGCCAACGTTTTTTCCAGTCTTCGAAGCATGCCGAAAAGTCCTCGGAAGGGATAGCCTTCAATGCGCGTGCTGATTCACGTTGGATCTCTTCAATGGACTCAAAACGATTTCCCCGGAGTGGTCTCTTGAGCTTTGGGAACAGCCAGAAGTCACACGGTGCTAAGTCGGGCAAATACGGTGGTTGTGGAACAACATGGGTAGAGTTTTTGGCGAAAAACTCACGAAGAACCAGTGCTGTATGCGAAGGCGCATTATTGTGGTGCAAAATCCAAGAGTTATTGGCCCATATATCCGGTCTCTTTTTGCGAATAGCTTCACGCAAACGTCGAATAACGCTTAAATAATATTCCTTGTTGACAGTTTGGCCAGTTGGAAGGAATTTGTAGTGCACAGCACCACAATAATCAAAAAAAACAGTCAACATGACCTTGATTTTTGAGCGACTTTGACGTGGTTGCTTCGGTCTCGGCTCGCCTTTTTCACGGTATTCACTCGATTGGTCGGTTGTTTCAGGGTCGTATGCATAGACCCAAGTCTCATCGCCAGTAATAATTTGTTTGTAGACGTCTTGATAGTCAGAAAGCATTGCTTCACACGCTTTAACGCGACGCTCTTTTTCAAAGAAATTGAGAAATTTCGGCACTAAACGTGATTTGAGTCTTCTGAGGCCCAAATGATCCTTCAAAATCGCTTGCACCGACCCAAATGATATTCCAACCATGTCAACAAGGTCTCGAATGGTTAACCGACGATTTGCAAGCACCAGTTCTTTGATTTTGTTGATGTGGCGATCATCAATCGAAGTCGATGGTCGTCCCGAGCGTTCCAAGTCATCAACACGTTCTCGGCCTTCTTTGAAGTCTTTGTACCACTTGTAAACATTTTTTTGAGACATAGTCTCTTCACCGAAGGCCTTTTGCAACATTTGATACGTTTTAGCAGCAGAAATATCATTCCGCAAACAAAATTTAATAGCACTTCTTTGCTCAACAAAATTAGACATCGTGAAAATCGCTGAATGCACTTTAGGTACTTCAGAAACAAGCGTAAACAAAAAAAAATAATTATGAGTTTTCATGTAATTTGGCGCAAATGTTAATGACATTCCTACCAACTTAAAAATAAAAAAGATTGGACGATTCGAATAAGGCGGGAAGTTTAAATTAAAAATTCACCTTACTTTTTGATCACAGTAGTATATATAATAATAATAATAATAATAATAATAATAATAATAATAATAATAATAATAATAATAATAATAACATTAGTAATAATAAAAATAATAATACTTATGCTGTCAAAGTGTGATAAACCACACTTGCTGGATTCGTCCAGTTACAGTTTAACTACTAACTAACTAACTAACTTATTATTATTATTATTATATATATATATATATATATATATATATATATATATATATATATATATATATATATATATAATAACATTGATGATATTAAAAACAATAATCCTTATTGCATATATATATAATAATAATAATAATAATAATAATAATAATAACAACAATAATAATAATAATAACATTAGTAATAATAAAAATAATAATACTATATATATATACACACATATATATATATATATATATATATATATATATATATATATATATATATATATATATATATATATATATATATATATTTAAAACCGTAAGCAATTGTACATACTTTAAAATGACAGACTTTTAACTTTCTTGGAGCAGAGAGACTAACTATGGCAACCAAACTACTTGAAAATAATCTTTCAACAATACAAACATCCCCTTTGTCTAACATAAAAGACACATGATAATGCACTTTTTCATTAAGCATACATAACATACAAAATAACATTTTTAAAACTAAAAAATAAAATTACCATAATGGTGTATTTCATCAAGCTTCTCAACAGAATTCAGTGAAAAGAGTTTATAACCTAATCGTGTACCAACAGCAAGTGACCTAAAACAATAAATACTAATATAGAACACAAATGAAGATTATACTTTACTCACATTTTTGTGAATGTGAAACAATATTAAATATTATTCAATATAAACAAAGATGCACAGTATAAATGATGCCGTATAATTTAAATATACACAATTTGACTAATACAGCCTATGGCTATATCAATCAGTCAATTTTTGTACAACAAATCAGTTAATTTATATAAAATAAATCATTTCATTTATGTACACTTCACTATATCTATGGCAATATGAGTCTGTGAATGTTAACTAGATAAAAAATAAAAATATTGAAAAACAAACTATACCAAGAAATATAAAAGATTAATCATAAAAGTTGTCATTTTTGTGATTTTAAAAAACTTTCAAAACTTAATATCTGTAATATAATAAAAATTAATAAACAATAATATTGACCATTATAATAATAACTGTTTTATTATTACAGCAAAAAAACTAGAATTTATCAGATATATATTTAAAAAAATTAAATATGGTTTTTATTGATAAAAATAAAAAATAAAGAAATTTATTGTTTTAAAAAAAGGCTTGCTGTATATGATTGTATTAAAAAGATATAAATAGGATTTTCTAATTTACTATTTTTTTTATATTAGGTGAAATACTTATGTGTATCATTTGTTCTAACAAAAATATTTAGTCTTGAAAACTTTTTCAGATATATTAGATTGAAAAAAACAAAATATCATAATTTGCTATTTTTATTTTGTACGTGAGTTTGTTTTCATAAAATTAAAAATCCATATCAAAAGTCTTGTCAACTGAATAAACACAACCCTGTATGATATAAGAATTATTATTATTACTAATATTAAAAAAACTTATTAATATTAAGTAAAAATTTTTTTTTTTACTTAATATTAATAACAGACTCTTTAGGAGTTAGGACTCTTTTAGGTTAGGAAGAATTAGGTTTTATACAAAAACAAATCATTTCTAGTTTTATAAATTAATTTATTAAAAATTTAAAGTATGAAACCCTTTTAAATAATGATTTCGATGGAGAATATCCACAAACTTAACCACAAATAATTTTTGAAATTGCTGTGGTAAATTATTTTTTAATTTAGATTCTGTTATTATAATAGTGCCAAGTTGATAAAAGTGAAGTAAATTCGTCAAAATGTTTAATTAATAAAAAAATTCTTAATGAAAAGAAGAAAAACAACTTTTATTGATGTTTAAAAAGTTCAAGTTTTTATTTTTATTTAAATAATAATACAAATATCATTAATTTAAAAAAACGTGATATATTTACGTTTTATCTTGGTTGAAATTTGTAAACAGTAAATCACCGGAAGGATCGGCTCCATTTGCTGCGAGATTCATGAGTTTTCATGAGCTAAAATTCTTTACTTATGAAAATTAACTAAAATTTATGATTCAGAATGTCATATTTATACATATCATTAACTGAGACTAAAATATTAAAATCGTAAAAGTTGTTTTGGTTTGTGGTCAGTTTACAAAAGTTAAGTTTAAAAGTTGTTCTTTATTTCTTTTATATTGAAATAGACAACCACAGTCTTGTTCTCTTCCTGTAACTCATAAACAAATTTTGATAAAGCGGCACTTAACTTTTTCGCTCTATCTTTTTTTTTTTTTAATATATTATCGCAATTTAAAATTAGTACAAACATATGAAGAAATTGCTTTTCATATATATTCTTACACAGTGCCGTTGTTAGACTCCCCACGCTCCCCCCCCTTTCTCTAGTAAAATGTTTTTGTAATTTGTTATATGTTATATGTACGGCGAAATATGAGGAATATATATATATATATATATATATATATTATATATATATATATATATATATATATATATATATATATATATATATATATATATATATATATATATATTTAAACAATTTTCAAAATGTATTCTACAAAATAGAGTGCTCAATGTTCTTAAAAGAACAGAGCAATTATAAATTAGTAGAAAATCACTTAACAAAAATTTTTTTTCTCCACACAGTGTAAAATGAAAAAAAAATTTTGTTAAGTGATTTTCTACTAATTTATATATATATATATATATATATATATATATATATATATATATATATATATATATATATATATATATATATATATATATATATTATGATTATTATATATATATGTATATATATATATATATATATATATATATATATATATATATATATATATATACATTATGATTATTAGCAAGCGTCATTCCGATTCACAAATAGGGACCAACAGTTGTGTTAAGTAATGATAGACCCATAAAAAAATATATACACGAAACAAAGTATATACTATTTCATAAAAAAAAAACAAGAGGAAAATTTTTCTCTCAAGTTGCCTAACCTATTCCTAAATGATAAACTAATTAAAAATCAATTCAATATATGATTTTTAGGAATCATTGTTGATAAAAAGTTATCCTAAGGTTTCCTCATATAATATAATTCACCAAAATCATAGGTTTGGTGTATCGAGTTCGCTCTTACGTTAATACACAAAGTCTTAAATTAATCTACTTTAGGCTAGTTCATAGCTTCATAAGCTATGCAAACATTTCATTTGCGAGTACTCAAACATCAAAGCTTAAAAAACTGTATAATTTACAAAAAGATGTTTGCAGAATCATTTATTATAAGGATAGACGTGAACAGGTTAAACCCTTAATGAAAGATATGAAAATGGTGAATGTGTTTGAAATAAATGTCTATCAGCATTTAAATTTCATGTATCGTTACAATTATAATATCTCTTCTATAAACTTTAATAACAAAGTTTGAATTAAATAAAAATGAAAACTATAATCTTAGAGCAAATATGTTAAACACATATATTCTGCCTCGGATAATAAATAAATATTCAAAATATAGCATTTCATATTGAGGTCCTAAAGTATGGAATACCTTTTAAAAAGGATTCAAAGGTACGTTAAGTTTATTTAAGTTTATAAAAAAAAAAGAAATTTTTAAAACTTGAGAAACGTTTTTGGTTAATGTTACTACTCTATCCTTTTTTGTTGCTTAACAATCTTATTAGCGAATTACGCATATTTATATTACGATATTTTATTGAAATTTTGTTGAAGGGGCTCTATGAAAAGATTTCAATGACGTACTGTAATCCTCATTTTCTTTGAGCCCCTATCTGTTTTACTCACTTTTTTTATGAAGTACAAAGTTGTAAAAATTTTATGTTATATTAAAACAGAATAAAAAGTAAAAAAAAATCTCCTTGAAATTTACTTGTTGTCGTGTAACGGAAAGAATCATTAATAACAAACTGATAAATTATTTCTTACTCAATAACCTAATCACAAAAGAGCAGCATGGTTTTATTTGTAGACATAGTACTTGCACTAATTCTTGACTGGACTTTAAATCTTTAGCGCTTCATTCCTACAAATATTATTTATTTTGATTTTAATAAAGCATTTGATTTAGTTTCACATCCCAAGTTATTAATGAAATTACCTTACGGAATAGTTGGCAATCTTCTGAGTTGGCTAACTAATTTTGTACTTGCTTATGTTAACTGTATAAGAGAACTTGGAGTTTTCATTGATAGGAACCTTAAATTTAATCAACATATCAATCTAATTGTACATAAAGCTATGTCAAGAGCCTATCTTATTCTAAAAGCTTTTTATTCGTGAGATAGATCGCTGATGGTTAAAGTCTACTGTACTTATGTACAAACTATGGTTGAATATTGCTCTTCAGTATGGTCACCTTACACTATATGCCTGATTAATAAAACATTGGATTCAAACCAATTCTCGCAGTATTCGTAGATAGACAAAATCAGAATAAAACTTTGAGTGATGGTTTTTAACCAGTTTGTTACAAACGGTGAGCAACTTGATTTGTTTTTTTATAACAATTCTGGCAATGTTTCTTTACCAAAACAGGATTAGGAGTCGGTGGTTCAAAGGTTTTCCTAACTAGTACTGCTGAAAAATAAATAAGGTATCATCAATGACAGTTTTCTCACGAACATGGAATATATCGTTAGTTGCTCAAGGAATCAAAAGCATGTGTAAAAGCATTTAATGTATTGTATTTCTCACTTATTATATGCATGAAAGTGTAAAAAAGATTTCCAGTTTTGTTAACTTCTCATATGTCATACAACGATCGAATCAACTTTTGCAGTGAGTCAACAATAAAGTCGTAATCAATGAGTTTGACTTAGTACTCAATAAATATTGGCAACGATGCTTGAAGGTTTTCTGCAGTAAGACCGAACATACTCTGGTTTTATTATTGCTGAACATAAAACCACAAATTTCGAAGTTTGCCAACAGGGGCGGACTGGCCAAATTATTATGATGTGGAAAAATATTTTTAACGGCCCTGTAGGCCAACGAAAAATGAGGAAAAGCAGCAAAGATAACAGACGTAAATTACAAAGTTATGCTTAATTTATAAATATATACATTAATGAATAAATATCGAACAGAAAAAATTTATTAGAATACATATACGTAAAAACAAAGTACTTAACAACGGCCCATGTGGAATAGTCCACATCTTCCACATGGCCAGTCCGCCCCTGTTTGCCAACCTTTTGGTTCTTTGTTAAATAATTATTATGTCTGTCATACATAATACTTTTTGATACTTTTAAGTAACATGGACGGAAATAGATCTTATAGATCTTGACGTTTGATTTTGATCAATTTATTCTGGATGTAGAGAAATACGTCAAAATTTCCAATTATGCTTGAAGTTTACGCGACTGCTCAATAGTTGTATAACAAAGTTTAGTTTACAAGTCGGTTGAACATACTTTATAGAAAGTTACGATAAAGTTTGTAAACTTTTACAAAAGTTCGTTTACCGTTCAGGCTCTGTTATCACTGAGTTCAAAAGGTTTAAAACCTTTTATTTGATTTTAAAAAAACTAGATGTATATATTTTTAAGGCATTTTGTCAGAATAACGTGGTTAATACTTCCGACTTTGTTGCTTTTAATTTAACTCATTTACTTTTGATCATATTTTACTTTTTTCCATAACTCTGATTTTGCTTTTGTCTTTAAGATTTAAAAAATATACATATATATATATATATATATATATATATATATATATATATATATATATATATATATATATATATATATATATATATATATATATATATATATATATATATATATATAGGGCCGGCGCGAGTAGGTGTCACGTGGGGGGTGCCATTACAACTTTTGACGACTAAAAAAAAAAAAGTTCCTCGCTATCGAAAATTTGCCGACTGTCATGACGACATTTGCCGACTAACTGTCTAATTTACCGACTAACCTATATCGAAAGGGTCGATATTTACCGACTAACTAGTCAAAAAGGGTCAAATTTGCCGACTAAAAATCATTGATGGGGGGGGGGGGGTGGATGTCATATATATATATATATATATATATATATATATATATATATATATATATATATATATATATATATATATATATATATATATATATATATATATATATATATATACATATTTATATATATATATATATAAATATATATATATATTTTCATTCACCGAAATAATCTAAAAATTAGTTACAGCTGTCTTCCAAATATTTGCAACATCATCACTTCACACAACAAAATTTTATCAAATTCTTCTAACCTTAATCTTCCATTGTGTAATTGCCGGCGGACTGATTTATATACGCTTAGTGGAAAGTGTTTAAGTAAAAATATGATTTATATACGCAATGTGAAAATAAACGCACAAGATAAAGGTATCTATTACATTGGGCTTGCAGAAAAACTTTTAAAGATTGTATTACAAATAGAAATTCTTTACTTTATGAAAGTAAAGCTAATTCCGCTGAGCTTTCTAAATTTGTGTAGAGTATTAAAAAGAAGTGTTTAAATCCTGTCCTTTGGTGGAAAATTTTAGATCAGGTTGAACCGTTTAAGTTGGCATATTGAGTTGGCAAATTGTGTAGTTTATATTATATGGAGAAATATCAAATAGTTTCATCACTATTGTCTTTGTTAAACAAGCGAAATAAACTTGCATCTTGAAAATAAGTACATGATCATTAATTTTAATTCCATCAAAGAGGACACTCTACAGTATTTCTAATATCCTTTTGTTGTTGTTACTTTTAACATGTGTACCATCTGATGATCGCAATCATCAGATGGTACAAATGTTACATTGTTTGTGAAACTCCGAGTTATGTTTAAAAAAAATCAAGCATTAAAATTATTTAGTTTTTACCATATGTTGCTCTACTTTGGTATTGAGCACGCTTTCCCAAGAAATATTTACATAATTACTACAGTATAATAAAAACATCAAATATTTGTAATTTATTATTTTTTTAATGTGTTTTTGCTTATTTGATTCTCATTAAGTTTATAGATGTTTTTATTTTGTGAAAAAGACCTTACTCTGATATGAAATGTAACCAGATGAT